GTACCATTTTGGGGGTCCCTGTAACAAGGATTATAGTATTTGGGGGTCTATATTGGGTCTCCCTATTTGGGAAACTACCATACCCTTCCAACAAGTGGCGATTCTAAATGATAAGGGGTCCCGAATTAAGTTAGGGAAAATTAAATGGGGGGGCTTTTTGGAGGAATTCAAAAGGCAGCACTCTTCGGTTTGCAGCTTAGAGCCTGCCACTATCTGCTTTTTTACGGCACAGATGTTTGCTTTATTCCGAGAAACTTTAGTAGGGAACCCTGGTACCCCAAACACCAAGCCCTACACCCCGGCACCTAACCCTCTAAGCCCTGGACCCTGTATATCTATATATATATATGAGTAAGTCTAAATCCTGAAATGTAGGGTCCAGCACCTAGCCCTTACCGTGCAAACCCTGGACCTCATTAGTACAACCGAAAAAGGATATGTGAATATAAAGAAGCACATATACATATACACTGTGTACTAGTGTACCTAAAACCCCTGAGGGGGGGGACGCCAAAAGGCACCTTTTTGGAGAAAGGCTCTCGTGTGGCAGGAGGCTGCGTCCCCTGCCGCTCCATCCTCGTCTTCGTACCTCGGGCAAGAATTAGGAACTGAGTAGGCCCCTGGGATATTCAATATTTTCCTTAATGGCTTTAATAAGGGACCCTATATACTAATATGGTTCAAAGGGTTTTTAGGGGCCAACCCAGAGGATTATATAGAGGTTATATAGGGATAATGGAAAAGAACATGGCAACTACTATGTACCTCGGGGAAGCTGAAGAGATTCGTGAGACTGTTTGGTGGGTTTGGGGTGCTTAGGGCGTAGGGTCTAGGGTGTAGGATTTAGCGTGTAGGATGTCGGATTTAGGGTTAAGGATTTAGGGTTCTTAGGGTTCAAGGTGTAGGGCTTAGGGTGTAAGTAGGACTTGGGGTATAGAGTTTAGTCGTAGGAGCCCCCAACCGACCCTTTCAGGGACACCTCACCGCCCCAAAACGCATTTTTAAGGGGAGCCTGGCGAAGCTTCCTTCAGAAGGGACAGGGGCTTTCGAAACAAAGCCTGGAGCGGATAATATGTTGTGTTTCGCAAGGTATTGCAAGCAATTTTGTAGCAAGGTTGTTGCCGTAAGCATCGTAACCTGTTGTTTTTGTTGGTGTTGTTGTTAATGTCCCAAGCGAACCAGTCCTTGCACTTGCAGCAAGCCGGCGTACGCGACGCAAGCAGAAACAACAAAGTCATGTCTTAAGCAAGAGCTTGAAAACGTAAGCTAGCGCAAGAATTTCTGTTTCCGAAATAAAATACACTAAGGGTCCAAGGACCTAAATAATAGGGTTTTTAGGGCCCAAATACCATGAATATCATAGTATTTGGGCCCTAAAACCCTATAATTTGGGTGCTTGAACCCTAATATATAATCCCCATATATCCCTATACAGTCCCCCTATAATCCCTTTAAAGGGACCCATTATTTGGGTCCTTGGACCCTTAGGGAAAATAGGAGTAGGGATTCGGGCACCGCTCAGCTGGTAGAGATGCTCAGGGTTTAGGGTTTAGGGTTGGCCCTGGGGATTGGAAAAGGACTGATGCTGTTGATGGAGGAAATCTTGCACCACCTTAAGTCCCTAACGTCCTAGGAATTACAGTAGCCTAGGCCCCTAGGTGGTGCAAGATTTCATCCATCAACAGTAGAGTCCCTTAAAGAATTACGCTTCCATGCGAAGAAAGGTGGTTCTCGAAGATCGGCAATGCCTTGCCAAGCATGGCAGAAGCAGCTGCTGCGGCGACGGCAGCGATCCTACATAAGAGTGTCTAAAGATGTTCCCGGTAGAACTTAGGAATTCCAGAACATCCTTACAGTTCCCGTATAGCACTGGGTTTCCGGAGGGCTCCTGTTTTGGCAAACCCTCACATCAGCGGTCTTCTGCAAATGCTTGCAAGATGCTCTTGCTATTGCAATCCCAATTGCCTGCCTCGCTCCAGTCTCACCACATAGGTGCGTGTACAAAAGGCCATTCAACCCTCTCTTCTCTCTTGGATGCTGCGTATACTTCCAAGAAGCCTGCGAGTATCTTGAAATCCTGATATTCCCACAACATGTACGAGAATCTAGGTGGGCTGGAACCCGGCCTTGTGTTGCCTTATGCTTGGATCCCATGCCCTTTGTGGGGGTTTGGGAATTGGGGTCCTCATAATAAGGATTATAGTATATTGGGGTCTATATTGGGGTCCCAAAATTTAGGGAAACTACGTTGTGCCTTCACCAAGTCCGGAGACTTCAATGCGCTGTCCAAAGCCGCATCGTCTGCACAGCAGGCATGACGAGAACCTGGGGACTTCAGGGAGAAGCCAGGTGAGCCATAGTCTAAACTCCTCAAAGGGTGTTATATAGGGGATTATATAGGGGACTACTATAGGGGTTATTAAGGGGGATACTAGGAGTTTAGGCTATAGCTCAGGTGGACTTGAGAGTGGTTTCGGTGCAGTAGGGCTTAGCAACAAGATCCCTTATGTAGCCTGGAATAACATCGTCCTAATGCAAGAGGTTAGCTGACCTACAATGTTGAGAATTTCACAATATGTCAGTATCAAGCGGTAACTGCCCTCTAGCCCAAACCCAGGGCGCCAGGAGAGCCTCCTTCAGCCATTGAGTTGTTGAGTCCCAAATGGGAGCAGCCCTGCAACTCAAGCATCATGTAAAACCCCCAATATACTACAGTTGCGCCAAGTTGCCAGGGAACATCAGTGAACTTGAAAGTACAGTGACCTCTACCTGTCCTTGCAGCACCGAGCTCGCATGAAGCCCATGCGCAAGTGATGCCTTGACACAGTGATGACACATCACTTCGTCAAAAACTAGCTTTAGAAGCCATGCATGCCTCCTATCATTTCAGGTAGCGGGGTAGCGGCATATCTTGTGCTGTCTTGCTTTGGGACCCCGGATGTATGCTCGCACATGGACCCAACTTGTGCTGTTTGAGATAAGCGATTGAAATGCTACGATGTACCTGACTGCACCGTTGCTCTGATGCTTCCGCGAGCATGTCAACGTCCCACTAACAACTGCACACTGTCCTGATCCTATTTGGTACGCTTGGCCTCGACAGATTCAGAGTATACGCTGAAACAGGTCTTGCTAAACTCGAGGTTCTCAATCCAGGGTCTCCAAAGCATTTGATCCTAAGCATAGTGACGCTCTAAAGGATTTATAACATCCGCTATAACAGAACACCTTTAGAGCTGCGGACCCTAAAGCTCTAAAAACATAGCACCTTACAACACTTAACCCGAAAGCCTCAACCCTAAACCCTAACCCCAAACCCCACATTTTTCGCAACGCCAGGGCCTGCAGCAAGGCTTCTCCGACATCACAGGGAAAGCCAAGGTTGGTAGTGTACCAGGGTCCCTTTAAAGTGGTCTATAGGGATATATACGGGTATATAGGGATAATGGAAAAGAAAATGGAAATTACTAGATGATAATATGGTATATTGTGGTAGGGTTTAAGGTTTGGGGTTGAAAGTTTGGGGTTGGAGAGTTGACTGTTTCGTGCTTTGGGGGTAGTTTGGGGCTGATCGTCGTTAGGCTCAATCATATTTAGTTGTCAAGTCCTCATCCCAACGCATGACTAGACTTCACGAACTAACATGGAGGGTGAAGGCTGCGTTCGAGGGATGGGAGATAGGGGGGTGTTTCATGTGAGCTACGGACTAAATTTAGGTTGGGGGGGACCTAAAGGGGACTAGGTTGGGGGGGACCAATTAAGGGATATACTACAAATTTAGTCCAGGGCTCAAGTAGCACCACCAACCAGGTAGCTGATGACATCTATGTGCAAAGCTTGACAGCTCACATCAGGCGAAACCAGCTCAGTAAGCCACGGGAATGAATCTGCTGCAGATCCCAAGGATGACAAAATCAGCGCCGTGGCGCCACTCCGGATTGAAGCGCTCGCTGGGCTCTCAGAGCCTTGAAGACCGCAGTGCTCACAGACTTGGCAGTCTCTGCAGATGCTTGGCGCTCAGCAACTCCTGTTGGTAAGTGTCATGCCGAAGAGATTGGAGTGAGTTCGCCAGACGCTTGATGTCTCTGCATCCCTGTGGGCAGCGCTGTTCCTGCTGCTTTGATGTAGTGCTCACCGAGTCAATGTTCCCGGCCTTGGCAGTGCATATTCAGATGTTTGCATCCAGACACAGAAGCATTGCATTGCGATGGGCTTGCTCGTGTTCGCAAGCAGCGACATTGGCAAGCCAAAAGGAAGCTCAAGTCTTCGAGGTATCATTCGTTTTACAAGCTGTCTCTGCTCTAATGGAGTATGATGACATGATCTGCCGTGCTCGAACTCACCTCAGGTCCTCTGTGCAATCGACTTCCAGTACTGGAAGTCGGCGGTCACCATCTCCATCTGCCGACGCAGTGGCTCTTCCGCCTTTTTTGTGTGATCCGAACCCGCGCATGCTGTGCAGTGCTAGGTGACACGAAGCGGCGACGTTGGTGGTCGGAAGAGTGCAGGCTCGCTTGCTCTACCAGGCAGCTTCAAGCCCAGCGCAGTCATTGAAGATCTTCCAGTTGGACTTTCTCGACCCCAAAATATCCTGTGGAAAGCGTCTATTGAGCTGGCAATTGAACAGCTGACCTATTCGGGATGCAACCCGAAGCCCGACTTTGCCAGGCGGTGCCATTTCGATGACGCGTGTCTCTCGCGAGGCAGCACCAAAGACATCAGTCAGCTAGCGCTCGAATTCGGATTTCTCTTTTTGCAGACCTTTTCAAAACCACAAAGTTAAAAGAAACCCATGCGTTCTTGATACATGCAAGAAGAAGGCTTTTGAGCCGCGGCCAGGCTTCCCAGAAGAGCCCGCTGGGACGTACCGGGCCCAATGGTTTTCAATTTTCGTGAAGATACACGTTAGAGTATAGAATATTTTAATATACTATAGTACATTATAACATATTATAGTATGACCAGGAAACGGTGTGACGGTGTGGCTGCTGCAGCCATTCCTCTGAGGCAGTGAGAAGGCGTTGAAATCGGCCGGCGCCTCTGTGGGAGTACGCATCCAAGCGGCTTTCCGTAACCAATCTCTCACCAAGTGATGCTTGTAGCTTGTCGCGCATTCTTCTTCTAGAATTTTAAAATATTGTGGCGGATATCTGCAGATGCTTGCGTAGCCTTGGCACCGAGCAGATTGACATTGCCCGTTGCGTTTGGTTGCCAGACGCTTGTGTAGGATCAGGTCCGTAGGTCCTCTGCTGTCTTGCCTCTTGGAAGGCGCGAACGAGTTCGTCAGTATTTTAACCCCAAACCCCCTATATTATTCCTACATAATCTACTGCCCATATAATCCCCTATATAATCCTCTATACAATCTACTCCCGATATAATCCCGGTGTAAAGGTCCCTTACCCTGAGAGGTCATGGCGAGCTTGACAGTGAAGTCGGCCGTGCGGGTCGCGCAAGGCCATGTCAGGGGGTTCTCGAAACTCTGGGTGCCCCCCTGGAAGGAGATTGCATAGGGTTTCGGGATTCTATGCGTACGCCTTGATGTGCACAAAGCTTCGTTTCGGTGTGAAGCAAAGTCATGAGCCACGCGGAGCAGGGATGTTGCCATGAATTATCCCAAGGCTCTGCATAGAAGAAGTCCTCATCTTAGGGTCTGCTTCTGCGCATACAAGTTTTACTCGTCAGGAATTCGAGGGCTGTTTTTCCCCACCCTCGCTGTGGAGTTGTTAGATTTTAAAGTCTATGTTGTCCTCGCCGCAGTGCTCAATGGCAACGTATTCCTGCAGTGCCCACCACAGAGTATCCGCCCAGCCGCAGAGTATCCCTGCAGTGCCCAAGTGCCCAACCGCAGAGTATGCCTGCAGTGCCCAACCGCACAGTATCCCTGCAGTGCCCAACCGCAGAGTATCCCTGCAGTGCCCGACTGCAGAGTATGCCTGCAGTGCCCAACCGCAGAGTATCCCTGCAGTGCCCTACCGCAGAGTATGCGTGCAGTGCCCAACCGCAGAGTCCCTGCAGTGCCCAACCACCAAGTATGCCTGCAGTGCCCAACCGCAGAGTTTCCCCAATCTTCCAGGAAACTTTACATCTCTTGTCCAATAAGAGCTTTAGGGTGGGGATGCTCGAAGTAAATAATTCTTTGTTTTTCACATTTTAAGATACAGGGGGTCTTGCCTGCAGAATCCTGGATCCTGCAGATGAAAGCAGGGCCTCGTTGCTGAGGCATAAACAAGATCACTACTCCAGTGCCTTTGCTTAAGCTTTCTGCCGCAGGCATGCTGAAGCGAGTTGAGTTCACCTCCAGGACCATAGACAGCTCCGTTGATGAGACTGCAGCTTTTTGTATACTAGCATTATATGAGCTACTGTCAATATTCGCCTTATTACGGGGCCCTTAACAGTGGACATAGGGGTTTCTCTTGTAGTGTAGTGTAGTCCCTAATATAGTCCCTAATAAGGAACCCATGTCCATTGAATTGGGTAGGAACTATTGACTGTAGCTCATATAGGATTAATGTAGGGTTATATAAGGGATAATAGGGGATTCCAGGGTTATGCAGGGTCACTGTCTGAATTTTGTGGAAGTGGCACGTGGCAGAGGACCCTTGGCAACACGCAGACCGTTTTTGCTGCCTACCTGCCGGACACCACGGAGTTCAAGAAGCTACCAGTGGCCTCTCAGACTGACAGAATATTGTTCTCAAGCACATGTTCGTGAATCCACCCGATGGTGTACCAAGGTTTACTGGCTGTCAGGCCTGACGTGCACTGATGAGAACTTCTCACAAAAAGCAGGCGCTTTCCAGGCAGCATGCGACAACCAGGCAGGGCACTGCCTGCCAAAGAAAAGGGTCGCAAGGCCAAGCAGGGGGATTTCCAAAATTAGAGGTACCTTTTTGGGGGTCCCCATAATATTGTTTATAGTATTTTGGGGTCTATATTGGGGTTCCCCCATTTTGGGAAACTACCAGCAGTACTGTGGAGGTTGTCCTGGTGATGCCGGACACATCGCCGCGGGGCGATGGCGTGCCAGATGAGGATTATAGGGTATTCTAGGGTCATATGGGGTTTATGTAGGGGATTATAGGGTTGTATAGGTTATATAGGGGATTAAAGAAGCTGAGCTGCAGGTTTGTCTTTTGGCATGGGTCAGCGCGATGTTGGTAGTGGGTATGTCTGTTCTGTTTACTGAGAAGTAATTAGTGTTAGATCTAGTCAGCTTGGTCTCAGCGTACCACCAGAGGCGCAAGAAAGCCAGTTTCAAAGTGATTGTTGTGTTAGGCAGCGTTCGGGGGTGGAAGGCAGGCAGAGCAACGAGTTTTTTGGAGTGGACGCTCAGGAAGAAATGATAAATCCACTTTGCAATGGAATGAACAAAGCCCATTGGAGTAGACCATGATTTTTGCATCCTTTATCAGTAGGGCCTGAGTTTTGCTGGCTGTGGGGTACTTCGCTGCAGTAGCTGATCCCACTAGAGCTTTGGTCATGAGTTGTTGAGCCCGTGCAGCTTTTGCAAGTGCTGCCTTCAGCAGGACCCGAAAACCTACGATTTTGGCTTGGGAGCTGGGTTCTACTTGAACGCCACGACGGACAAGTACAAGACCCATTACAACATGCTACTTGTCATTGATTTAGCTTTGCAAAGCTGGGTGGTGCTTGTTGAAGGCCGCAAGTTTGCAGCCCTGAGCGCATTGTTACTCTATCTGAATGTGGCCTGCGGGCTTCTGCCTGCGGTCGGCACCAACCGCGAACTGTTGCTTCGGAGGTTTTCCCCCCTGTTTCTATGCTCCGGACAGCATGTACGGCAGAACAAGGAGTCATATAGTGTCATGCTACGCTCGACTGGCACAATAGAATGCCAATCTGCGACGGCGGCGATATCTGAATTTGACGACTGAGGTAGATACAGTAATGTGCCCGCATCTCCGTGGTAAGGGCCCTGTGGTGAATGGTTGGCCCCCATGCATGGTATGAGGGGCCAAATAGGGTAGCTGTCTGACAGATTGTACCTGGGCCTTTTACCCAGAGAGGAGAGTGCGGAAGCGGTTAGAGGGGGTGCGGCTTCCGTCAACTGGACATTGAAACCCAATCTGGCAATCATCTCCACTGAGCGCGGGAGGTCTTGGCTAAAATCTGAAGAGCCCCTAGCTCCAAAAGTTTTGGCACCTTCAATGCAGTGAGAACAGAACCCACAGAACCCCATCCATTTAGAGGGAGTATGGTTTTGGATGCCGCCCCAAAGCTCAGGTGGGTTGAGTGTATTCTGGTCATGGCTCAGTGGTTGGCATCTCCTGATTACACCATGAACCTACTCTGCCAAACAAGGTACGATTTTGTTGTCCAGGAGCTTCCTGAATTTGTGGAGGCTCGCGCCAACGTTCTTCAACCCCTTGTTTGGTGATATAGGGTTCGGTTATTATAGAGGGTTATGTGGGGTTATATAGGGATAATGGCCAATAAAATGGAAACTACTATTTAGGGTCAGGGTTTAGGATAGCTTTGGGGGTACCGAAAGTTCCCCAACCCTTCCTTAGAAGTCTTAGTAGAGAATAAATGCAGGAATATATTACATAGGGGTGATAGAGGGATTATATTCCTGTAGTCCCTACTAAGGACCAGTAGGTTTTTTTGTGAAACTGTTCCTTGCAAAAAGACATTAAGCCCGACAGCATTCCTTGTGGGGACGTGTGGGGACCACTAGTATCTCCGGACAATCCTCATTTTTGATTTATCTTCCTTGACCCTAAACCCTAAAGCCTAAACCCATATGTATATATCTATCCATATCCCTGGGTTGGTCCCTGAATTCAAGCCTCGGCTTGCCCTTCTTTTGGCGTGCGTGTGATAAGACGTTCGGGGCTGTGAAGGGACATTTAGAGGTAGGGCAGATACCCAATCCCCTGAGGCCCTTTAGTAATACCAATGTAGCCCCCCGATATATTCTTATATCATTCCTTTAATGGATAATATCCCTACAGATCCCTAAGCCCTAACCCCTTATAAGCCCCAATATATACCTACTATACTATAGCGGTTTTCATTTTGTTTTCCATTAACCCTATATAACCCCAAAACATACCCTATTATACTATAGAGGCCAACTTTCCCGTGACCTCCAAGCGGGCAATCAGCGGCCACTCCATGGGCGGCCATGGCGCACTGACGATCGGACTGAAGAATCCTGACAGGCGGGCTGAAAAGGACTATACAGGGTTATATCAGGTTATGCGGGGTTATATGGAGATGATGAAAAAGAAAATAGAAACTACTCTTTAGGGTTTAGGGTTAAGGATGGATTATATAGGGATTATACGGGGGATGATATAGGGTATAATGGAAAAGAAATGGAAACTTGTATAATGGGCTATATAGGGATTATGCACTTGTAGGGATTTTGGCATTTTGGGTGGTTACTTGTATATGGCCTTATCATGCCTGGGGTTTGTGGGGCTTGTATGAATTCTAGGGGGGTAGTGAAGTGGTTTTGTCGGTAACCCTAAACCCACCCTAAACCCTAAACCCTAAGGTTTAGGTCCCACAAAGAAAAAAACCTAAACCTTAAGCCCTAAACCCTAAACCCTAAAAAGCGTGGATCTTAAATGCCGGGGTGCCCAGCCGAAGCTCCCAGATTTGTCTTTACTCAGCTTGCAGAGACATGCCGGAACCCCTTCACAAGACACCTTATAAAATCCATCCTAAATCTTGAGCCCTAAATAGTAGTTCCATTTTCTTTTCCATTATCCGCATATAACCCTATATAACCGCATATAACCTTGTATAACCCTATATAACCCTATATGACCCTGTCTGAATGGCTCTGGAAACTGCAGGTACACGTCTGTGTCCGCCTTCGCGCCGATCTGCAACCCAATGAAAGTGCCCTGGGGCCAGAAAGCCTTCAAGTTTCTGGGTTGCTGTTAAGGAACTTAGGGTGTAGGGTTTAGGGTTTTGGGATATTATCCCCCTATAATGGAGAATCAAATGGAAAAGAACATGGAACATGAAGTGGAAACTGGGGGGAATACAGGGACTTCAGGAACTTAAATTAAATTACCACAATGGGTATATATATATATATGTATACACTAAATAATGGGGTTTCCCCAATATAGTAACTTGAATTAAGTTCCTTCACAGCAACTCAGGTTTTACTTGGGCGAAGATGAAGAGGCTGGGTTGACATTGAATCGGGACCCGGCCCCTGGCCCTCAGCGATGTTCTTCGCGTCCTTGGTCTCATGGCAGTTGACTTTGCTAGCCTAAACCCATGCTCGTTAATGAGTGTACTCTTTCTTGGCAATGCTGGTAAGATTTGAAATTCGAGTAGGTTTGTCATGGTCATTCGAGATTACCACAGAATCTTGCCACGCCATTACTCGTAAGACGACAAGTTTGACAAGTGACCTTGTAACTCTGTACGCTCTTGTCATTTGTGCTGTTCTGTTCTGTCACCGCTGTTACCGCAGCAATACGGAAGTTTACGCACTTTGACTGTAACATTTTTTGCTTTTACGATCTCCTTGCTGCAGTTGCATCTTTACGGCGATTTATTAGAGTTCATCAGTGATGTAGATGTCTTCGTGGATTTACTGTTTGCTCCACTCCCGAGAGACGACTCCAAAACCCCCCCTCCCGGCCCCCCCCCCCTCCGCTAATTCCCGCCTGCAGAGCTGGAAGCAATACGATGCCACGGAGTTGGTCACGCAGTACAAAGGCCACGCTCATTGATTTTTGGGTGCTGTGATTCAGAGACTCCAACATGGTCTGGATTTTATGGAGTTTTGTAGGCTTCCTTTACATGTGCTGCAGGAGCTGCTTAGCGCTTGGTAGTGCAGGAGTGATGAAGAGCATTCAGTACCTTGCAGCCAGATCTGACCTGACCTGACTTGACTTGATTGATTAATTTTGCCTAGCCAACGTTCATGGGAGCTTCCAATTTTGGCCTCGTTGTATCCTCAACGTGGAGGCTAATCAATAAACACTTGCTGACTTTGTCCTTTTACATGCTCGATGCAGGCAAGGACCTGCACATCCTCTGTGACTGTGGGACGGCTACTTATCCAGTTTAGTCAGAAACACGCAAACTTGCAGCACATCGGTGTCAGATGATGTATGTACCTCGAGTGTCGGAAGAGAGCTTCTCCTGTCACTGCTGGTGGGTTCCTAGGCAGACAGCTTTCTCGTGGGCGATGTGAACCAGCTGCAGCCGCTGGCCTTCATGGCGGCTGCTCAGCAATCAAAGGTGCCCGTCACCTTCAGGACCCCGCATGAGTTTAAGCCGGGCACCTCAGATTGTGCCTCAGATGCTTGTTGCTTGAATTTGATTGCAGGATGCAGGCTGGTTATGACCACTCATACTACTTCATGTCCACGTTCATTCGAGCCTTGTCTGAACAACATTGCACGACTGCACTGACCTACGTGCCAATCCGCCTGTGTTGGCCCTGATCTGTGAGCAGCACTGACGGCACGCAACCCTCGGGTCCTGGTTTTGGGGTACATGCGAGCTACATGAGCTATAGTCTAAGCTCCTAAAGTGGGTTATATAGGGGATTCTATAGTGGAGTATTATCGGGGTTAGCAAGGGGGATGCTAGGAGTTTCGACTATAGCTCACATGGAGCAAAAGCAGTTTTGAGCTGCCAGCAAGGCGAACACTTGGAGCACCACGCACGATTTCTGCATGCTGGCGGCTACGCTTCATGAGCAGTGGACATTAGTGGTGCAAAGCATTTCTGACCTTCATCTTTCAAGCCTTGCCGACAATATGGTAGGCTCCAAAAGGCGACAGGGAGCTGAGCGAGCGTCGCAGTGAGTATCGTTTTCATCATGAAGTGCACAACGAACCCCTATGGCCTTTCGTAGCTAACTTCTGAGCCATGTCGCACATGCTGAGACGCGCTCGACGTGCCCATTGATTGCTGTACTTGGCAGCTTGATTTCTGGACAGGTGCCCCTTAGAAAGGCCTGTAAGGCAGATGGCACAGTCCTTTTAGGCGAAGTACAGAGCCCGCAGGCCTCCGAGATCCGCTTGGCTTCTGCTAGACAGCATGTGATTTTGTAGCTCTTTGCAGCCATGCGGATCTCTGAAGACTGGACGCCAGCGCTCAACTTCAGACTTAGAGTCGAGCGGACGAGGAAACAAAGCGAAGCCGCTGCAGTCTGTCAGGCTTCGCCATTTTACAAACTCATGCTGGTTTGATGGACCAGCCATGCTGTAGGAGGGATTCTTCACCGCAGGGTGACCACGGACTGACCCCGTCAGAAATTTCGCAAGGCACTGCAGACTCCGACGAACAGCCAGGCATTGAGGGTTCTGCTCCTGTGCTTGCGTCTGCTTTCCACAACGAGCAAGAGAGGCATTCCCAGCCAAAGCTGACTTTTTATGGAAACGGAAAGTGTAAATTCACGTTTCATGATGTTGCATATCATTCATTCAAAATTCTTGCAGACCATGGGGACGCTGGGACAAGCATGTTCCGGCAGGGGCAGCAGGCCACGCGACCCTCCCTGATCCGAACTGCTTTTGGATCCGACAAGGCACCGGAGCGGTCAGTGGCAACACCAAGGGATTGGGGTTGCAGTCAATTCATGCAACAGCCTCGCATTGCTGACACTGCGCCAAAACAGGGAGCCTCACATGGTGCATTGATTTTCAAAGTATGTCAAAGTGGCATGTGCTTGTTGAAGGGCACAGAGCCTTCGCCAAGAACTCGGCTGGCGCTTGGCGGCCACTTGCCCCTGGCATTGGTGCCTCGGCTTTCCATTGCATCTTCTCCGTCAAAACAGCTCTGAAAGCAGTTGGAGAAGATGAACAAATGCATGTTGACGCACGCCCTTTGATGGCCGGAGTGGCTTCGTGCAATGCTCCCTACAGCAGGTCACGCCACAGGAAGCACTTTCTAGCCGGTTTCACAAGCAGCAAGGATATCCTACTCGGATGTTCAACGAAACTTAAGAAACAGCACGTGCTCGTGGCGCAAGGCAAGGCTGGGCAATCCTGCACGCTGCAGGGTCAGTAAGTATGCTCCTCCGACTCCTCCTAAGAAGGCCCAGCTTCATGAACAACCTGCCCATTCTTGGGCCTGTGTCGCTCCAGCCGTAAGATGAGGATTGCAAGAATCATGATGATGAGAAACAGAAAAAACATCTCAAGGAGCGCATCTTTCTTTTCAAAACTGATACTGATAGAGCTCCTCCCCTCCCATCTGCAAGCGCCCTCGAACCTGCCCGGCACGACTAATAGGTTTCTTCCTGCAGAAAACGTGATGACACCTACCCTCCCCCAACCTGGATCAGCTGTCCTGTAAGAGCGCAGTAGACTTCATAGCATTCTTTTTGGGCTTCCATGCTAGTTTGGCCTAAGTAGTATTACCCAAACAGCCGTCAAACCCATCCCAGAGTGGTGCGCGGCCGACTCGCAGCGCCACTGCTGTGGCACCGCCTGGGCCTCCGGTTCTCAGCGCGGCCACCCAGAGTGAGAGTAGTAAGGAATGAAGGAAGGAATGGGATACGGGGACCATGTTAAGGGATTCACTTGGGACTACTATGGAGATTCATTCTTCCATTTCTTTTTGTCCAGCAGATCATGTCACTTCACACGGTCATTCGTCTTATTCCTGCAAACATACGCTTTTGCTTGCTGCTTTTATTGGACACTGGTCTAGAATCCGCACACGGGGTGTACTGTAGGGGGTCAGTGGAGCTCAGATACAGCATGGCTAGTCACTAGCGTGCTGTGACATCAAAACACCCAAGCAACTGCCTGTGTTGGATTTAGGGTAGTAGTGTAGTAATATGGTAATATAGTTGTATAGTAACATAGTTGCATGACTTGTCAATATGGTAAGGTGGGGAAACAAGTTGACATCGCTTTTTGGCGTCGGGTCTGCCACAGGCCCGCGCCGCAGCGTCCCCTACAGTGCGCGGGGCTATGTTGAGCCGCCCAAGACCGTGCTGTCGTCGGGGCCTGGGAACCAGAAGGGGAATTTTCAAAGTTGTCCTCAGGACTTGCTGTTGCTATTGGGATAATGGAAAAGAAAATGGAAACTACTCGAGTATATCAGACTGATTTTGGGGCTATCTTGGGATAATGGAAAATAAAATGGAAACTATCATGGGGTAGGCCTGTGGACGTGCAGGGGGTTTCATTCTGTACATCACATTCTACAAAGGGACTCTACTGGGAACCCCAAACCGGGAACCTCAAGAATATAGTAGGTATATAATAGGAATATACCTACCAGGGTCCTGATATTCCATTATATTCCTGCTATATTCTTGGGGTTCCCTATTTGGGGTTCCCAGTAGAGTCCCTTTCGT